TTGCACGTAAGATGTTTGGCCAGCCCATCTCTCGGCTATTGAGTGCGCTAAGCACGGCTTAAGTGCCCTAAGCGTGCGCTTAGCACGGTAACGCGCGGTTACGTAGGCGATAAACACTAGCGCGCTAATGCCACGCTTAGTACACGTAATGACATGCTTACTTGACTTAGGATGTGATTCATGATTAATTAGCTTAACATTGTCTCATGAACAATGAACGAAGGCTCGGTAAAATATTTATCGAGCGACTAGACATGAATTAATTATCGGAAAATTATTCTGAACATGAACATGATATTCGAAAATTATTTCGAACATTCTTGACTAAAATAAATAGTTCCGAACGATAACGCTTAATAAAATAGATATTCCGGAACTGAACATGATATTATATTAATAACATAATCGGGTTATTACAACCTACCCCCCTTAAAATATTTCCGTCCTCAGAAATACAAAACGAGACATATATATACATGAAATATGAAAGATACATATACATCAAAACTGAAAATCAAGAAAACGAGCGCGGATATCAGCCTCTTCCTCCCAAGTGGCTCCGTGGCGATCCCACTGAATACGAACGAGGGGAATATCACGCTTCCGGAGCCGTCAAACCTGTCGGTCCAACACAGCTACCGGTCGCTCCTCGTAAGATAAGTCTGGATGGATCTGAATATCAGTATGAGGAATGACATGATCGGGGTTGCACACGTACTTGCGCAACATGGATACATGAAAGACATTATGAACGCTAGATAACTCGAGAGGTAAGGCTTATCGGTACGCAACGTCGCCCACTCGCTCGAGCACTTTGAACGGGCCAATGAATCGAGGGTGCAGCTTTCCTCTCTTCCCGAATCGAATAACTCCGCGAAATGGACTAACTCTGAGAAAAGCTCGCTCGCCCACCTCGAACCGAATATCTCGTCGATGATGATTGACGGTTGATTTCATCCGACTCTGTGTTGTCTTAAGTCTCCGCCGGATCCACTCGACCTGCTCGGCTGTCTCCTCGATCAATTTTGGACCGAGTACTCGACGTTCACCGACGTCGTCCCAATAAAGAGGGGAACGACACTTACTGTAACACCCCGCTTTTCCATAAATATCAGAGTGCAATTTTCGCAAAACTTTTC